GGTGGGGGGTGGAGGATCCCTTCCGGGGTGGGGTGGGGGGTGGAGGATCCCTTCCGGGGTGGGGTGGGGGGTGGAGGATCCCTTCCGGGGTGGAGCGAGGTGGGGAATCCCCTGGAGGGGCAGTCAGAGAACCCTTCCAGGGGCTCTGTGTGGTTGGACAGTTCTTCTGGCTGGGTCTCTGATAATGTGGCTCGGCCCTGGCTGCTGTGAGTGACCACGCCCACTCGCTGCTCTCTCGGTCACTCAGTGGTCACTGGGGCACTTCCCCAAGCCGCTGCTTGGCTCAGGACCCTGCAGGGACCCGGCTTCAGGAACAAGTGGGCAAGGTCCCTGCCACAGGGCCGGGCTGTGCTCCTCAGTGGGAGCCCAGGTGCGTGAGAGGGTGGGGGTGCTGGGCTAGCACAGGCTTAGGTGGGTTCGAGCCCCATTGCCCCTTCCTGCCAGGAGAGCGTGGGGAAGATGGCCTTGGTGTCCCGTTGATGAACTGGGCCCGAATTCTGCCTCCCGGCTCGTAGGGAGGGAGACGCTCAGTTAGAACCCGCTGTGCACATACTAGGCGTGCTTGGTGCCGACAGCGGGGTCACTCACAGAGGACACTCACCTGGCTGGGGTGTCAGGGAGGATGCCCAGGACAGAAGGTTCTGGAGGCTTCACAGAGCAGCATGAGTGCTCCCGGTAGAAGGAGGAGGTGAAGGAGGATGTGTTCTCCAGGCAGGAGGATCTGTGTAACATCCAGAAGCAGTGAGAGGTGGAGCCAGGGTCCTGATTCCTAGTCCTTCCTCTGCCACCTCCAAGCTGTGCCATGGGGCGAGGACTGGTCCTCTCTGGCCCTCTGTCTCCTCATCCAATGAGAGAGTTCTGCCTTCAGAGCGATGGTGCTTGCAGGACAGCCTGGGTGTGGGGAATCATGCAGGACCTCCTGGGTGTGGGAGTGTGCTTGCAGGATAGCTTCGTTTTGTGGGGGGGGGGGGTGCTTCCAGGACAGCCTGGGTGTGGGGGATCATGCAGGACAGCCTTGGTGTGGGGGTGTGCTTGCAGGACAGCCTGGGTGTGGGGAATCATGCAGGACAGCCTGGGTGTGTGTGGGGGGTGCTTGCAGGACAGCCTGAGTGTGGGGGGGATCATGTCAGGAGGTGACCTTCACGGGGGCATGTCAGGAGGTGAGACTGATGTTCACGAGGGAGGAGAGGCCGGATCTGCACACGACTGAGGCAGAGTTCAGGGTCCCCAGTGCAGCGGGATGAGCCCAGAGGTCATCTTTAATGCCAGCTTGGGCATCGGGGTCACTGCTGTCAGGCACACTGGAGGCGGGGAGCCAGGGAGCTGGGACAGGCTCACACCCAGGTCCCCACGACACCCAGGTCCCCGGTGCCGTGTTCGGGTCACATTCCGGCCAGAGTGGGCATGCTGGCCCTGAAGGCCACGTTGTTGCAGCTCCTCCCCCCTTTCCAGGACCTGTTCAGCCGGCAGAAGGGCTACCTGGAGGAGGAGCTGGACTACAGGAAGGAGGCCCTTGACCAGGCTCACCTGGTAGGAGCAGATGTGGGGGACATGGTGGCTTTTAGCCCCGACAGTGGGGCAGAAACCACATTTGGGAGTCCCCAGTGCTGAGGGATCAGGTGGAGTGGGGTGGAGGGAACGCCAGCTCCATGCAGGTGCACAGTGAGATTTTCCACATCTGTGTGACTTCCAAAAATACCCAACGTTCGTTTAGACACGCTGGTTTCTGTAGACACGCACATCACATTGTAGTCATCATTTAAGATTAGAAGGCGCTGTCTTCTATGTTTACTCATACTTAAATATTTATTTATACTTAAAACTCCAGAGTGGGTTTTCCTATAAACAGGAAACACAGATGTCCCGAGGGACCGCAGGGGTGAGGCAAGGAGCTGAGGCGGCGGCCACCAGCGCAGGCAGTGCTTGTCCAGAGAGCCGCATACTTACCGGGTTTGGGCCACAGCTTGGCTTCCGGGCTTCCTGCTTGCGTCAGCCTCCTGGGGCTGCCGTGACAAAGTCCCACAGAGCATCTTGCGGTTCTAGAGGCCAGAAGTCTGAACTCAAGGTGTCAGCAGGGCTCCGTTCTCTCTGGAGGCTCTAGGGAAGATCCTTCCTTGCCTCTTCCAGCCTCTGTGGCCCCAGGCGTTCCTGGGTTTGTGGCCGCATCGCTCCAACCTCTGCCTCCGTCTTCACGTGGCCGTCTTCCCTGTGTCTGTCTCTCTGTCTCTCCTCCTCCTTTATGAGGACACGACTCAGGTGGGATTAGGGCCCTCCCTACTCCAGTGTGACCTCATGTGAACCTAACTGATAACATCTGCAAAGACCCTATTCCAAGCAAGGTCACATTCACAGGTACAGGGGTCAGGACTTCCAGCATTTCTTTTTGGGGGACACAATTCATCCCACATCCCTGGTGATCAGGACTTCCAGAATTTCTTTTGGGGGGACACAATTCATCCCACATTCCTGGTGATCAGAGTAAAGCAGGATCACGGCAGCTTCGTCCATCCTCACTCAAAGCACAGTGCTGCCGCACCGAGGACGGAGTCAACCCTCTCCTGTGCCCTCCCCTGAGGCTGGGTGCTGAGTGATGGTGGGCGTTTCAAGGACGTCTTCACAGGGAGAGGATCAGAGTTCCTTGCCTCTCCTTGTAGAAGAAACGAGGGTGGTCCTCAAAGTCATGGGCATTCAAGTCTTTCTCCAGGTCATTTGCTGTTAAAATTATTTTACAAAATGGATTGTACCTAAGAAATGCAGAGGCAATAACTATAAAACGACGTTCAAACCTTGGTTTCTGTGACAGTCTCCGGAACACGGGAGTGGGAGGGACCAGTCCCTGGAGAAGGACCTCACGCTGGGTAAGGCAGAGGGTCAGCGAAAAAGAGGAAGACCCTCAACGAGATGGACTGACATGGTGGCTGCAGCAATGGACGCAAACATAGCAATAATTGTGAGGATGGTGCAGGACCGGGCAGTGTTTCGTTCTGTTGTACACAGGGTCGCTATGAGTCAAAACTGACTGGATGGCACCTAACAACAACGACAGTTGTCTGAAGGCCATGGCGAGCCCCTTGCCAAGCCCTCGGGATCACAGCCCTTTCCTCAAGGGATGTCTCAGTCCTCCCAGAACTGCTGAAACAAAAATGTAACAAGTGGGCAGCTTTAATGAACCAGAGTTTATTGCTTCAAAGTTCTGGAGGGTGGGAGTTCCAACCAGGGCACCAGTTCTAGGGAAGTGTCCCTCCTTCTTTTCCCCAGGAGTTCCTTTGTTCCCTGGTGTTATGGATTGAATCGTGTTCTGCAGAAATATGTGTTGTTAATCCTACTATACCTGTGGTTGTAATCCCAGGTGGGATTATAGGGTTTTCTTTGTTATGTTGATGAGTCAGTGTTAGTGTATACTGTGTCTTAAATCAATCTCTTTTGAGAAATAAAAGAGCAGATTAAGCAAGCAGCAAGAAAGCAGAGATCAGGGGAGATGGATGCCATGCCACACGAAGATCACAAAGGAGCCAAGGAAAGTTGTTGTTGTTAGGTGCCTTCGAGTAGGTTCCCACTCATAGCGACCCTGTGTACAACAGAACGAAAACACCATGGCTTGGGTCGGGGGCACCTTAGTCCTCATAGTGACGTCTTTCCTTTTTAACACTTTAAAGAGGTCTTTTGCAGCAGATTTGCCCAATGCAATATGTCGTTTGATTTCTTGACTAATGCTATAATGGACGTTGATTGTGGATCCAGGTAAAATGAAATCCTTGACAACTTCAGTCTTTTCTCCATTTATCATGATGTTGCTTATTGGTCCAGTTGTGAGGATTTTTGTTTTCTTTATATTGAGGTATAATCCGTACTGAAGGCTGTGGTCTTTGATCTTCATCAGTAAGTGCTTCAAGTCTTAACTTTCAGCAAGCAAGGTTGTGTCATCTGCTTATTGCAAGCTGTTTATGAGTCTTCCTCCAATCCTGATGCCCCATTCTTCTTCATATAGTCCAGCTTCTTGGATTATTGGCTCAGCATACAGATTGAATAAGTATGGTGAAAGGATACAACTCTGACATCATACATCTTTCGTGACTTTAAACCATGCAGTATCCCCTTGTTTTGTGCAAACGACTGCCTCTTGTCTATGTACAGGTTCCTCATGAGCACAATTAAGTGTTCTAGAATTCCCATGCTTCACAATGTTTTCTGTAATTTGTTATGATCCACACAGTCAATGCCTTTGCATAGTCAATAAAACACAGGCAAACATCTTTCTATGCATGCAAAAGTTGGACAGTGAATAAGGTAAGCCAAAGAAGAATTGATGCCTCTGAATTATGGTCTTGGCAAAGAATATTGAATATACCATGGACTGCCAGAAGAACAACAAGTCTGTCTTGGAAGAAATACAGTTAGAGTGCTCCATAGAAGTGAGGATGGCGAGACTTCGTCTCCCATACTTTGGACATGTTATCAGGAAGAACCAGTCCCTGAAGAAGGACATCATACTTGGTAAAATAGAGGGTCAGTGAAAAAGAGGAAGACCTTCAACAAGATGACACAATGGGCTCAGACATTGCAACTACTGTGAGGATGACACAGAACTGGGCAGTATTTCGTTCTGTTGTACACAGGGTCGCTATGAGTCAGAACAAACGTGATGGCACCTAACAACAATGACAAACCTTTTCTAGTATTCTATGTTTTAAGCCAAGATCCATCTGACATCATTGATACCCCTTGTTCCACTTCCTCTTCTGAATCTGGCTTGAATTTCTGGCAGTTCCCTGTGGATGTACTGCTGCAACCATTTTTTAATTATCTTTAGCAAAATTTTACTTTTATGTAATATTAATGATATTGTTTGATAATTTCCACATTCTGTTGAATCATCTTTCTTTGGAATGTGCACAGATATGTATCTCTTCCAGTCAGATGGCCAGGTAGCTGTCTTCCAAATTTCTTGGCATAGACAAGTGAGTGCTTCCAGTGTTGCATCCGTTTGTTGAAACATCTCAGTTGGTTTTCTGTCAATTCCTGGAGCCTTGTCTTTCATCGATGCCTTCAGTACAGCTTGGACTTTTTCCTTCAATACTGTCGGTTCTGGATCATATGCTATGTCCCGAATTGGTTGAATGTCAACCAATTCTTTTGGTATAGTGACTCTGTGCCAAAAAGACTATTCCTTCTCTCTTTTTGATGCTTCTGTGTCGTTTAGTATTTTGTCCATAGAAACCTTCAATATTGCAACTCGAGGCTTGAATTTTTTCTTCAGTTCTTTCAGCTTGAGAAATGCTGAGTGTATTCTTCCTTTTTGATTTTCTAACTTCAGATCTTCTGCATTTCATTATAATACTTCGTCTTCTTGAGCTGCCCTTTGAAATCTTCTGTTCAGCTTTTTTACTTCATCATTTCTTCCATTAGCTTTAGCTACTTGACATTCAAGAGCAAGTTTCAGAGTCTTTTCTGACATCCATTTTGCTCTTTTCTTTCTTTCTCGTCTTTTTAATGACCTTTTGCTTTCTTCAGGTCTGATGTCCTTGATGTCATTCCACAACTTGCCTGGTCTTTGGTCATTAGTGTTCAATGGGTTGGACCTATTCTTGAGATGGTCTGCAAATTCAGATGGGATATCCTTAAAGTCATATTTTGGTTTTCGTGGATTTGTTTGAATATTGTTCAGCTTCAACTTAAACTTGCATATGAGCAATTGATGGTCTCTTCTGCAGTTGGCCCCTGGCCTTATTTTGACTGATGATATTGAGTTTTTCCATCATCTCTTTCCACAGATGTAGTCGATTTGATTCCTGTGTTTTCCATCAGGTGAGGTCCACGTGTGTAGTTGCCATTTTGTTGTTGAAAAAGGTATTTGCAATGAAGAAGTCATCGGTCTTGCAAAGTTCTATCATGTGATCTCCAGTGTCGTTTCTATCACAAAGGCCATATTTTCCAACTAATAATCCTTCTTCTTTGTTTCCAACTTTCACATTGCAATCACTAGTAATTATCAGTGCGTCTTGATTGCATGTTTGATCAATTTCAGACTTCAGAAGTTGGTATAAATCTTCAATTTCCTCATCTTTGGCATTAGTGGTGCGTAAGTTTGAATAAAACTCATATTAACAGGTCTTCCTTGTAGGCATATGGATATTATCCTCTCACTGCCATTGTTGTACTTCAGGACAGATCCTGAAATGTTCTTTTTGACAATGAATGAGATGCCATTCCACTTCAATTTGTCATTTCCGGCATAGTAAACCATGTTTGTCTGATTCAAAATGGCCAGTACCAGCCCATTTCAGCTCACTAATGCCTAGGATATTGATCTTTATGCATTCCATTTCATTTTTGACAGCGTCCAATTTTGCTCGATTCATATTTGGTACAATCCACATTTGCAGCTGTTTCTTCTCATTTTGAGCTGTGCCACATAAGCCAGTGAAGGTCCTGAAAGCTGTACTCCATCCATGTCACCACCATGCATCTGTCAGTTGGTCATATTGTGGTGGTGTGCGTGTTGCTGTGATGCTGTGAAGCTATGCCACCAGTATTTCAAATAACAGCAGGGTCACCTATGATGGGAGGCTTCAGCAGAGCTTCCAGATTAAGACAGGCTAGGAAGAGGGACCCAGCAGTCTACTACTGAAAAAATTGGTCAGTGAAAACCTTATGAACAGCAACAGAACATTGCCTGATATAATGCCAGAAGATGAGCCCCTCAGGTTGGAAGGCACTCCAAATACGACTGGGGAAGAGCTGCCTCCTCAGAGTAGAGTCGACCTTAATGACGTGGATGGAGTCAAGGAATAGAAGCTGAGAACATACAAGGAGATTCCTTCAAAGTGAACAGAAAGAGAGACTTCTCCTAGAGACAGTGCCCTGAATTTGGACTTCTAGCCTCCTAAACTGTGAGAAAATAAATTTCTGTTTGGTAAAGCTCCCCACTTGTGGCATTTCTGTTATAGCAACACTTGGCTCATAGGTGAATCCCCACATGGCATCTGTCTTTTCCTTATGTGTGTATGGGTCCGTGTCTCCTCTGCTCTTTTTGTAAGACACCACTCAGAAGGGACTAGGTTTGGGACCCACCCTGCTCTGGTATGTACTCATTAACATAACAAAAGAAAACTCTATTTCCAAACAGGCTCACACTCATAGGTACAGGGGTCAGGACTTCAACACATATTTTGGGGGACACAACTCAACCCACGACATGGACGAATAAAGTAAAAGGAGAGCCCTGAGCTACAAGGACACCTGCGTGCACACACACAGGTTCAGAGTAAACCGTGTTCTCAAGCGTGTGCTGGGCACACGGTCAGCTCCCTTGTACCTTCCTGTGGGGTCCCCCAGCTGGCCCCTTGGCAGCACGTCCTGTTGGTGACTGTCCCTCTGTCTGTGCTTCTGGCCACTCAGAAAATCCAGGAGCTGGAGGCCACGCTGTACAATGCGCTGCAGCAGGAAGCCGGGCGCCGGGCAGGTGAGACGCTGAGCGAGGCCCAGCGCGAGGACCTGCAGGCCGCGGTGGAGAAGGTGCGCCGGCACATCCTGAGGCAGAGCCGTGAGAGCGACAGCCAGGTGCTACGGGCGCGCATGGAGCTGCTGCAGCAGGCCCAGCAGGTGACCCGGGGAAGCGGGTACCGCTTCCGCACCCACCCTGCAACACCTTCTACTCCCATGTGTAATCTGATGCTGTGGGCAGATACTGGGGTGCACCCAGAAGGTAGCACTGGGGGAGCCACGTCCTCCATCCCTCCGCCGTATGTGCTGACCCTGTGGGTGGGCATCGGGGTGCACCCAGCAGATGACGGGGGGGACCACATCCTGCATCCCCTCCTTCCCGTGTGTGTGCCAACCTGACAGGCATGCATTGGGGTGCACCCCACAGATGACCGGGGAGAACACAGTCTCCATCCGCCCCACCCTGTGTGTGTGCTGACCCCACGGGCAGGCATTGGGGTGCACCCCACAAATGACAGGGGAGACCACAGCCTCCGTCCGCCCCACCCTGTGTGTGTGCTGACCCCACGGGCAGGCATTGGGGTGCACCCTGCAGATAATGGGGGGAAACATCCTCCATCCCCCCACCCCATGTGCATGCCGACCCCGCAGGCAGGCATTGGGGTTGCTTCCAGCAGTCCAACAGTTACGCTGGGTGGAAGCTGGTGGTAAAGCCCATTTCTGTGAACAAGGCAGGTTTTCTCATCGGCTCCCATGATAATGTGGCAGCCGTGTTTCCCAGGGTTGGGGGTAGTGGAAGTAGGGGGGCGGGTGACAGGGAATTCTGGGAGTAATACACAGCAAACCTTTTCTCTAATTGTACACTTCGACAGCAGGGCCCCCACCCCGTGTGTGGTAATACCAGCCCACACAAGTCATCCAGGTCCGTATACCCACTCGGTTTCTCAGGCAGATGCAATACCCAGGGACACTGGCTGAACACTTTGCATTTCTGCGTATCTAGTGATGTCGCCATTGAGTGATGTACCTGGAGTGACCTAAAGGCACCCCAGGGCTGGGTCCTACGTGACTCTCCATGAGCTGCCGAGCACAGGGAACCGGGCTCCGGGACTTCCCTGGGGTGATGTGGTTACAGCTGTTTTCCTGATGGGAGAACTGAGGCTAGAGAAGTTAGCTCACCGCTGTGAGGGAGGACCTAGAGAACCAGCAGGAGGGTGTCCGAGAGGCAGAAAAGGAGAAGAGAGAGAGCGTTTCAAGAGGGAGCAAAGGAGTAGATGGAGGGTGTGTCCCACCCAGCAGATGCCTCCACACACACAGGCACACGTGCATACACACGCATGCACACACACACGTGCCCACACACGTACACGTACACCCAAACCCTTACGTAAGGTGGCAGGAGAGGGTCCTATTACTAAGGGAGATTCCTGGCCCTGTTTGACTGGAGGGCAAGGCAGTGGGCAGGGCGAGGTTGGAGACCGAGGGGAGAGAAGGGAGTGGCAGCTGGGGAGGGTCTGGGGGTGTGAAAGGGATGCAACAGACCAGTGGCAGGAGGTCAGGGGCTGGCTGCGGGCTTCTCTGCCCTGAGGCAGCCGCAGGGGTGGGGAGGGGTGACCACGGTGAGGGTGTGTGCCCCATCCCAGGGCTGGGGTCTGGTGCTCACTCGTGGGCACACCGCTAGGAAGAGTGGGAAGAGAGGGACAGGCTGGGGTCCCACCTCCCAGGGGGTGGAGAGGCCGCGGGTGCAGGGATGGCGCCATCGCTGTTTCCAGAATCACGGGGTCAGGTAAGACTGTCACTGTGCGAGCACGTGGAGGGGGTCGGGCAGCACCCACGAGGCTCATGTGCTGACAGGTGAGAACTTGCTCTGGGAAGGCGGCTGTCTGACGTGTTACCCGTGCGTTTCAGAGGGTCCGGGAGCTGGAAGGCAAGCTGGAGTCTCAGAAGAGGCAGCTCAAGGAGCTGGAGGAGAAGGTGAGCTGGACTCGGCGTCTTCCCAGGAGACCGAGCAGAGGCGCTGTGGGGCCTCCCTGCCACTCTGAAAGAATCAGTTCTGGAGGAGACACCCCTTCTCAGTGGCTATTGGGAGTTCTAGTCCTACACAGTGCGTGCGGGGGGTGGAGGTGTCTTTTATTTCACCAAACCTCTCTGACACACACACGGGAAAGTGAGGTGGACTTCGTTTGATGCTGAGCCGGGTTAGACTCGACTGGTGACCGCCCACTAACCCCAGGGGACGGGGGTCCGGGCCGCATTTCCCACCCAGTCCCATCCCCTCTGTGGCTGTTACCATCTTGTGCTGAGGAAACAGAGGCTCAGATGAACTGAGATGCTTGTCCCAGGCCCCACACCAGGGAGGGTGGCGGGGCCCCATGCGTGCTGCAGCTGCCGGCCCCACGTGCTGTTGATGGGGGCAGAGCGGCCGCCCGCGTGCAGGCATCTTATCTTCACGGCTCACCTCTTATCGCGGCCCCTCCTCAGGCAGACTTCTGGGCTCAACTAAGACTCTGCCCATGGACCCCAGACCCAGGGCTTGCCTTCTGCTCTGGGCCCTGGGAGGGTCCCCACCAGCTCCTAAAGAGATGGTGAATAGGGAAGTCCTCAGCCTGGGCCAGCCGGGGTGGGGGGCTCTGCAGGCGCTGGCCCACCTGCCTTCCGTTCCCCCAGGGGTGTTAAGACTCTTGTCCGCACGGTGGGTCAGGGCAAGATACGGCAGAGAAAGGGTGGACAGGACCACAGTGTGGTAGCTCATTGAAAAACAACAGCGTGCTCACATGCCAACCGATGCTGGCAGGGCCCCAGGAGAGAGTCACAGGGGACGCTGGAATTGTCCTCCAGGCTCTTTTCCCTAAGGAAGTGTCTGAGGGCCCGTCTGTCTCTTCTGTCCCTGAAGGGAGTTGTGAGGCTGGCGTGCATGGCTGGAGGGGTTAACGGGCGGCCGCTGGTCAGGCCTGTAGGACTACGACCCCCAAGGTCGCCAGCAGGTCGGAGCTTCGGTTCTTTCGGCCTGCTTCATGGACGCACCTGCAGCCATGTGGGTCAGATGCGGATCAATGACCTCCTGTGGGGGCCAGGGGCCCCTTCCCTCTCCCCAGGAGGTCTCGGTTTCCCAGGTGGAAAATAAATGTCTAGGTAATTCCGAAGGCCCCTTCTAGCTCCGACTTCTGGTGATTTTTAAATGCGTCTAAAAATCGGTGCCTGTCTGTTTGGATTTTACTTCTTTCAATAAATAATAGTTACTGGTACTACTTGCCATTGAGTCAATCCCGACTCATGGTGACCCCACGTGTGTCAGAGCAGGACTTTCCTCCATGGGGTTTTCAATGGCCGAGTTTTAGAAGTAGATCACCAGGCTTTTCTTCCGAGGTACCTCTGGGTGGGCTTGAACTTCCAGCCTTTCAGTTAGCAGCCGAGCACTTAACCGTTTGCACCACCAGGGACTCTGATAAATAACAGATGAGAGATGTTACCTTATTTCGGAAAAACGAGATTATTTTCCAAAGCCCCATGTGACATTCAACAGCCCTTCATGATCAGAGCAAGCAGTGAGTAGAGTTAAGAAGAACTATTCCAGATTCAATCTGACCTGTAGAATTTTCTTTCTTTAAACCATCTTATTCCTCCTATTTTTTCTTTTTAAAATAGACCAGTTGAATGGCATAGGGATTTTAAGTAGTGAATTTCTTGGGAGAGGGAGCTTTGGCTGGAATGGGGCTGGGGAGAGAATTCTGTGTGTCGGCACGTTGGACAGGGCGACCTCTCGTGGAATCTTCTGAAACTTGGTGTGTTCCTCATGCCGTTTAGTGAGAGCCACCCACAGTGACCAGCAGAGGGTCCCGCCTCTGTTTCCGAAGTATCTCTGGGTCTCCAGGACCCCTCATCTCCACCCCAACTCCTGGTCGTGGCGTGGACCGTTGCTGTCTGATCAGCCAGCCTTCAGGAGCACACAGGCATAGCACCCCCGACGGACCTGGATTCTATAGGTTTTCCGGGAGAAAACCTGTCTGTTTCTGAAACCATCTCCAGATCTGCCGTTCTTGTGAAATGCTGCCATTGAATTCCATACTACATATCTTACATCTTTTTTCTTTTCTTTTCTTTTTTCCTCATTTTCTTTTGGTCTTGTTTTATAGTTTTTGTTCCTGTTTTTGTTTTTCTCGCTAGCATTCATTCTGTGGCCTTGAGGACTCCGCGGAGCCGCGCGCCTGGGTGGGTATCCTTGACTTTTTACTGATAAAGGTGACAACTTAAGACAGAGTGTGCCTCCCTGCTTCTGGTGCTAACATCCCCAGAGGGTGAAGTGCTGGCATGTGGCCCTGGTGGCAGATTCCTCAGCTCGGGCTCGCCGGGGCCAGGTCATGGGGACAGGGGGTTCGGGTGAGCCGAGAGCGGACAATGGGCCTGGTTGTCTGTCTGTCCCTGCTGGCGGTTCATCCTGGAAGTGGGTTTCTGGTGTTTCCCAAAGGCTCTGTCCCTGTTGATCTTGGTGCGGGGACTTTGTCACTGGTAAATCCTCTGTAGGGTCCAGACCCCAGGGGCCTCCAGGCGCAGGAGGTGGACAGGCAGGTCAGACCGAGGCCTCCAGGCAAACTGCTGGGGCCACCAGCCCCACCCCTGCCTGCCCTCTTCCTGTGAACACACGCCTGGCCCTGACACTGATTGGAGCCTGGGGGCCTCTGGAATGAGACGTCCTGGCAGCTGACCCTGGGCTGACCCTGGACCTGTGGGTCCTCAGGACCCAGCTGTGACCTGCTTCCTGCTTGGGCACCTAGACCCCAGGGTCTGAGGTTCTGGCCTGAACCCAGCCGAGGCTGAGAGCCCCTTGAGTTGGGGGAGCCACTAGCTGCCAGACTTCCCGGGCAGGGCTCCTGGACTCCCCAGGGCTGACCCCAAGCCGAGGGCTTCTACATGCCAGCACCCAGAACAGTGCCCAGCAGGTGGAGGAAACGCACTCAATGTTTGCTGACTGAAGAAAGGGAAGGCCCAGGTCTTAGAGGAAGACTTAGCCCAAGTCCCAGCGGACTGGGGGTGGGTAGCCTTGGGGGTGACCCTGGAGGACAGGGGTCCAGACCCCCCTCTTCCCCTCACATTACTGCAGGGCCCTCAAGTAGCCCAGTGGCTTGGCTGAGGGGTCCGGACAGCAGGGAGGGGGTGGGCTATGGGTAGGAGCTGCCCCCACCCTTTAGCCTTGGTTCTTGTGTCATTTCAAATTCTTCTTTGATCTTACAGGATAGAAAAAGAGCTTATGGAATAAGCTGAGTCCCCACGGCAACCCCAACCCCTCTCGAACCAAATCCAACAGCAGAACAAGCTCCTCAAAATCCAGAGACTGAAAACAGAACTCACTGTACTGACCACAGCCCTCACGGGAAGCGTTTGGGTGCATGAGGGGCCCCGCCAGCCCGAGCTTTGAGGTTTCTGTGGTGACCACGGTTTTGTCCAGCCCGGGAGGCCGGGGCAGCGTCCAGCCCAGTTGCAGCCCCATCCAGATGGAGGGGCAGAAACTGGGGCTGGAAACAAGTGCCATTACCAGGCCCCAAGCGTCGGGGCCGCCGGGCTGTGGGTGCCGCGCCGAGGTCTTCACCACCTGAGCCTGGCTCTGCAGCGGATGCAAACGCCCGACCTGTGTACATACGTCCCGTGACCTTGCGTGCTCGTTTACAAACGTCCCTGAGCTCTGAAACCAAATCCACACCGTCAGCAGAACCTGCTGTTCCCCGTGCAGCCAGATCCACAGCTGGAGGCCAGAAACAGCAGGACTCGGCCCAAGGGCTCGGGCCTGTGGTCCTGGAGGCAGCACGGGGGATCTGAGATTTCCAGGGGAGCTGGGCTCCACCGCCCTCCTGGATGTGATGGCTGTTCCTAGGCCATGTGGACCGAGAGGTGCCGTGGCCACACTGGGCCACATTCAGTGATCTTGACTGTAATTTGCAAGGGGGCTGCTGAGGAGGACGTGCAGGGACAGAGCAGTTCTGGGTGCCTGTGGGAACGAGGGGCACCCCCCTCTGCTGAGGCCCAGGTCCATGCTTACGATCGTGGAGAGGTGAGCCCTCCTGTTCTCAGGGGTGGCCCCTGAATCCAGCCGGGAGAGCTGCTGGGGGCAGAGGCTGTTGGGGGGCCGCTGCAGAGGGAGGCTCGTTGGGAACCCTGAGAAGAGAAGTTATTTCCGGATGCTGTTGTGTCTCTGTTGTTGGGGGATGGGGGGGTATCACATCTCCAGAAGAGGGAGCCACCACGTGCCCTGTGCTCCCTGCACTCTGGAGGAAAGATGCTAAGCGTCCGCATAGACCCAATAAGGCAGGGGACGGTGGAGGAGAAGGGGAGGCCGAGTCTGTGCTGGAAGGATGACTGGAGGCAAGGAGGGATGCCCATGGCCCTGGGGAGGTGGGGGGACACCCACGGCCCTGGCTGGAGGTGGGGGGCACCCAGGGTTTGTCATTGAGGAGGGACATCCATGGCCCTGGCTGGAGGTGGGGGGACATCCTGGGCTTGTCGTCAAGGACGGATGTCCATGGCCCTGGCTGGAGGTGAGGGGGACATCCAGGGCTTGTCATTGAGGGGGACATCCACGGCCCCAGCTGGAGGTGGGAGAACATCCATGGCCCCGGCTGGAGGTGGGGGGACATCTAGGGCTTGTCATTGAGGGGGACACCCATGGCTCTGGCTGGTGGGCAAATGAGCAGCCCCACGACCCTGTGAGACAGAGCACAGTGGAAAGGGGACCAACTGGGACTCAAGCCGCAGAGGGAGTCAGTGGGGGCAGCAGAGGGCCTGGAAGTCCTCAGAGACCACACCCCATGTGATCGCACCAAAGGGGACCCCCGCCAGGCAGGGCCATCAAACCAGACCCGGGACTTGGGGAGTTAAGTGAGTGCTCCCCTCCTCGGTTCAGACCCACCGAGATCCCCTCCAGCCTGTGGCTCACCTGCACCCAGTGGTGACATAGGAACACGGAGGGCCTCTCCTGAACACGGGCCTCGGAGCGCTCCAGGGCCAGAGTGAACAGCTGGGAACAAGGACGGAGGATGTGCCTTTGTTCCTGGGGCTGAGGAGGCGCAGGAAGCATTTGCTAAATTCTTCATGTCCTGCTGTGCCCCTGGTTCTCCTGTGAGGAATGCACTCAGCCCTCACGACCCCTGTCCGTCCGTCTGCCTGTGGGAAGGGGACACGTCCAGGGCTGACGCGCCTGACAGTGTGGACAGAACCGTGTGGCGTTGAGACCAGAACGTCCATCCACTCCAGCCCTGCTGTGCACCCGGACAGGGCACGCCTCTCTGGGTTCTAATTCCTTCAGCTGAGGCGCAGAGTGCCCTTGCAGCACCTCACATGGTGTCTTCTTCAGGCTTAACTAGACCCTCAGACCCACGACAATGGGCTCAAACATCCCAACGATTTTGAGGATGACCAGGACAAGTCAGCGTTTCATTCTGTCATACACGAGGTCGCCAGCTAACAACAAACACCCACAAGAGCCACAGGTCACCCTTGACCCAGAAGGACCCCCCGGGAGGAGCCCTCACTGCTCCAGATGGAGACAAGAGCCCCCTCTCTGCTCCCCATGACAGCTCAGTGCCAGGGGATGAGGCTGACTCAGGCAGGTCCTGGAGCTGCAGGGCTTCCAAGCCCGTTGCCCCCAGCGAACCAGCACCTCTCCTGATGTCTCAGATACAGCTCCTAGTGTCCCTGCAGGGACAGGCTGTGACCGGGGCCACCACCCACAGGGTTTGCTTTGCCTGTGAGCGAGGTCCTCTGGGGACACTGACTGTGAGGCGGTTCCCTAACTGAGCCTGAGGCCAAATTGCCCCGCAGGAAGCGGGCTTTGGGCCTACCCTTTACCCTGGAGGACAGAGCTGCTGTGGCGTCTCCAGAATGGGCGGCCACCTGGCACAGCTCATGAACAGTGGTCTCCTCTCACCCTGCACCTCGGTCCCGGTGGCCGCTGGCAGCTGTGGAGGTGCTGACCGCGTGGTCAGTGTGGGAACCACACGCAGTCAGTGCCTGCTGGCTATGATGTGGGGCTGAGTTCAAAGTTGGGGCCCAAGACCAGATACCTGGGTGACTAGCCGTCTGTCTATCCAGGACTGAGGGGCCCCAGGATGCACTGTCCCCCATGGCCATGAGGTCCTAGCAGCTGCTCTCCAGCTGGGAGTGGGCTGTCTGTCCCTGAGTGCACGCGCTGAGCTGACCATGTGTGACATGTGGGCTGTGCTCCCACTGAAGTCCACAGAGCCCCCTTCTACTAAGCCAGCCCCCAACACTGAGCTGGCCCACGGGGGGCAGGCTTCCTGGACACCCTGTTCACTGTTGGTCTTGGGCACATGGGTGCCACACTCCGGCCTGGCCCAGTGCCTTCCCAGTTGTTCTCGATCTTCCCACCTCCGCCCCCCGTGCGGGTGAACGTTCAGGGGTCCCTCCTGTCCCCCTCCTTCCACTGCCCATGTGTGGCAGGTGGGAGTCTGGCCAGATGTTCCAGCTACAAAGTCATGTTTATTTTTTCACTTTTAACCAGAACTGCCAAGATGGGGTGGGAGGGAATCCCAAACCAGCCAATGTGGGCCCCTCACTTCCTCCCTCAGATTGTCTTTGAGCTCTTGGGTGCTCCTGCAGACTGTTCTGTTCCGGGGGAACCACAGTCTTCACTCAGCCCGGACAACTCTTCACAGCCTTGCGGAGCCGCCCCCATGCCCCACTGTCTCTGGGGTGGCAGTCCTATATGAAATAGGGGCCCTGACCCTGGGGAGCCCTCACAGTGGCCCCCGTCCACCTGCCCTCCTCCCCACCCAGGCACACTGGGCGTCTGCAGGCTCAGCAGGTGGGCCTCGTTCCATTCCACCCCTAAAGGCGCCTCTCCTTCCCCAGAGGTCTGGGTTGCTCATCCGGGAGGCTTCCCTAGCCGGGCCTTGACCTGTCCTGGGGGGACTGCCCCTGAGAAAGGGCTGGAGCATTGCTTCCTTGGTGGGGAAGCAGAGCTTCCAGGGGACGTCTCTGCTGCACCTGCTCCCTGTCCTCGTCACAATTTCCTGAAGGATCACTGTATGTGGGCGCGGGGTCAGCACCAAGAGCCCCCTCCTGGCTCCTGATGGCCCTATGGGATTGCCTCTGCCCCCACCTAAAAGCTGCTCACTGCTGTGCTCAACTTGTTTCTTCCTCATCGCTCTTTGTTGTTTGTGGGTGCCATCAAGTC